GCCTGGCTGAGACTTGCAGGTCTCCGGTCTCCCCCTGTGATGCCTGCTCTGCCTCTGCTGCAGGACGGTGGCTTCAGCCACACACACTCAGTGGCCAGGGTCATTCTGCCAAGGGCAGTGGTCTTCTTGTGTAGGTGGCTCTACAGGAAGATGGCGCCCCGGGCCTCATGGGTGCTGCTGGCCCCCTGGTGTGGGCTGCATGCTTAGCGTCTCAGAATGCTCCCACTGCCTGGCCGCACGCAGGACCCACGGCGTCTGCTGGGGCATCGCTGGACCCAAGGGTCCAGGGTGGAACCAACAGAGGAAGCAGAAAGGCTTGGTGGGAGGCAGTTCTCCACCTGGGAAGCCTCTGCCTGGACCCGAATCCCAGCGAACGGCACCAGCCATTCACCGTGCGCTGAGGAGCAGGGGACAAAAGGGAAGATGGGCGCCGTGCGTTCTCAGACCCAACCACTTCACGTGTAAGGGAAGCGTGAGCGCTCCTCAGGGTGGGCACGGAGTGGAAACGGAAGACCTCTGTCTGGAATTCCTGGGCGTGGAGTCCCCACAGTGGCTGCTCTCAGGCTCGTTACAAACACATGGCCCAGACCCCACTCCCAGTGAACGTGACTCAGAAGTGGGGTGGGCCCAGGACCTGGCTTTCAGTGAGCCGCCAGGTGGCTCTGATGCAGAGCCAGGCTGGGAGGCCCCCTTATTTGTCAGATGGGCACACAGGGCCTCCGTGAGGACCCTCTGGGTGGGGGTGGCGGAAGCTGGGCCTGGAATCCCGAGGTCAGAACTCCCTTCCCAGCGCTCTCCACTGTCAGCTGGTGCCTCAGTTTGGGGAGTTTCTCCGAAGGGGGAGAGGCTTGCCCTCAGCAGCCGCGGCAGGAAGAGCTGAGACCTCGGGCCCACCTCCACCCCTGCCCATCGTGGCGTGCGTGGCAGTGACAGGCCACAGAAGGGGTTCACGTCGGTTGCTCTGAAGGCAGCCCATCCCTGGAGGGTTTCGGGAAGGATGAGCAGCTGCTTGGCGGGGAGGTTCCCGCATGGGGTGCACACCCCAGAGGCCTCCTCTGCAGCTCCTGTGACCCGGCCTTTCCTCCTGGGACAGAAGAGCGAGGGCAGAAGTCACGCCGGAAGAATGTGGTCCTGCCTGCTTTCCATGGCACAGCCAGAGGGCGAGGGTGGGTCAGCCGGGATCCCATGAAGCCGGCCCACGCAGGGCGGGGCGCGCCACATCCTCTCGGGGCGGGGCAGGATTTTGGAAACCTTGCTGTGGGATGCAGAGCCCATGGGCTGAAGCAGGAGCCAGCAGTCTGCCCCCCTCCCGGCCCTGGACGGGGCAGCGCATGCCAGAGGCCGCCTTAACCAGAAACGCGGTGCTGAGCCCCGGTGGCATGTGACCACCTTGAAGAGAGCTCGCTACCTCCCAGCACCCGTTTCACCTTGGCTCACACCTCAGGATGGCTGGGCTCCTGTCCCTGGCGGCCCCAGCTCTCACGGGGGATCAGTTTCATGCAGACAGTAAATTATAAATCTTTTAAAAAGCAAGACACACGAGGCCAGAACGAGGAGACAAATTTGATTCGTACCAGAGACAAACACGGTTTGCCTGTGGGCTGAGTTGAGCTATGGAGCTGCCTACAGAACCTTGAAAGGTGGGAGTCCTGGGTTCCTGGGGCAGCAGGAGGAGATCTGCCCCCCACCCGAGGTTCTGACCCCAGCATGTCCCCCGTGTCCTCTCAGTTCTCACAGCCTGTCCTCACAGCCACCTCCCTCCAGGGCCACACCTGGCGCACCCTCCACTCGCCCTACTTGGTGGTGGTGGGGGAGGTGCTTTGCCCACCACTGCCCTTTGCCTGATAACTCCCTCCCCCCTTTGCTCTCAAAAACACACTGGGACAAGCCCAGAGCAAAAGCTGGGGGCTGCGATGCATTTCCCAGAGGTTCAGGTAATATCAGAAACGGCCGTCGTCACTCAGGAGGAAAAGAGGGAAATTAGTTGTTAGGGTGGTAGGACCCTGGCTGATTTTCGCCCCAATTTTTAAAATCCGTGTTATTCTTCAGTATTAAAGCCCCCACACAAGCACTACAGCCTTTCTGCACTAGCCGTCTTGTTTGCCTCTCAAGCCACGTCTCTGCTTCTCTTGTTAGTTCTTCGCACGCTCGTGGGACACAAAGCCAACATCTGCAGCCTGGATTTCCACCCCTACGGCGAGTTTGTGGCCTCGGGTTCCCAGGACACCAACATCAAGGTGAGATGCCACTCAGCCCTGTGTCTCCGCTGGCTGGCAGCGGGACGGCATGTCCTGCCTGAGGGGTGGGTTTTCAGCTCCTTGTGGGGGTGTCTTCTCTGTGCCGCAACGTTCACACCCTCCTAGAGAAGGGAGGTGTGACATTTCGGCTTGGAATTCCCAGTTTTATTTATTAAAAAAAATATATATGTTTTTATTGATTTCAGAGAGGAAGGGAGAGGGGGAGAGAGAGAAACAATGATGAGAATAATTGATCAGCTGCCTCCTGCATGCCCCCTACTTGGGACTAAACACACAACCCAGGCATGTGCCCCACCTGGGAATTGAACCATGATCTCCTGGTTCATAGGTCAACGCTCAATCAGAGTCACGCCGGCCAAGCGGAATTCCCAGCTTTAGTGAGCAGTTTCCAGACCTCTGTCATTTTGGGGTGTAATGACTTGGAGGCACCCAGGTCCCTTCTCTGCTCACAGCCACAGCCTGACCTCCGGCCCAGGCTTTAGGCCCCCCACCCTAAGCCCAGCCTTGGTTGTACCTGTGCTGACTGCCCCTCTGCTCCTCTCCCCGCAGCTCTGGGACATCAGGAGGAAAGGCTGTGTCTTCCGGTACAGGGTAAGGAAGGCCCCTCTGTGGTCATTCCACAGCTCCATGCAGGCATCGAGCTTGTGGTGCCCACTGGCAGGGGCTGGAGGGCATTGCCGTCCACCATGGGGGAGAGCGTGAGAAACGTGAATCGAGCAGAGCGGGGTGCTGTGCGTGGTCCACCTGGACCCCCAGCTCTCCACGAATCCCCCAGAACCGTGCTCACCAAACCGCTGTGCTCCGTGCCTGGTTTTACAGACAGGCAGCCGGTGTGGTCGGGGAGGGGTGCCTGTTCATAGTGGTTTGGAAGCACTAAGTTTAACAATTATTTTGAGAGATTTTTATTTTATTATTATTTTATTTTTAGAGGTTTTTAGATCCTTTGACATGAAGAGAGGGCATTTAACTCTAAAAGGAAGCATAAGACTGACCATGCAGTCTTGGTTTCCTGGAGCCCCTGCAGGCCTGGGAGTCCATGGTCCCCCTGGGAAGTGTCCCTCTGTGGCATCTCCTACATGTCTTCCCCTCATTGCCTGCACCCCAGGACGCACTGCTTGTCGAAGGCCGGGGTGGAGTGGGGTGGTAGGGAGGGAAGGTCCTGGGCCAGGCCCCGAGGGTGAGCCCAGTGCTCTGTCCTCCTCAGGGGCACAGCCAGGCCGTGCGGTGTCTCCGGTTCAGCCCCGACGGGAAGTGGTTGGCATCGGCTGCAGATGACCACACAGTGAAGGTAGCTCCCAGTCGGATCCGGGCCCAGGGCTGGGGCCTGGCGGCTGCTGGTCACACTCAGGCTGGTCCCCACCGCCCTCCTTGGGGTTGCTGTCCCAAGCTGTGCGGATGGGAAGGTGGTGTGTGGATAGAGCTTGGGCTGGACCGGAGGGAGAGCGGGCGGCTGTGGTGCCCGGCCTGGTCCTGACCTCCACCCGCCCTGCCCTAGCTCTGGGATCTGACTGCCGGCAAGATGATGTCTGAGTTCCCTGGCCACACGGGGCCCGTCAACGTGGTGGAGTTTCACCCCAACGAGTACCTCCTGGCTTCCGGCAGCTCTGACAGGTGAGAAGGAGAAGCAGGGCCCGTCGCCTGTGACTGCCGCGCCTCACATCTCTGCCTGAGTGTATGTATATCTGTCCCCAATCTGTCTCTGTCCCAGGGTGTCATATGCCTGATGGGCCTCTGCAGGCTGAGTAACTGCCAGCCCAAGATGGGACTTTGGTTCCCGGCCTGTGTCCTGGGCCTTCAAGGGCATGTCCAATCCAAGGCCCATGTTGGCCTCCCACTGTGTCCCCTCCCCCTGCCTGTCCAGGGCCAGCCCTGGCCCAAGGCATTGCTCTTATTGGCCCTGAGGGGTGCTGGGGGGGGGGGGGGGGGGCGGGGGCGCGGGTAATAGGGGGAGAGAAGGCCTGTGTGGAGCCAGGGCTCTGGCTTCCCAGCACAGCCTGGCTGCCTTTGCAGGACCATCCGCTTCTGGGACCTGGAGAAATTCCAGGTGGTGAGCTGCATCGAAGGGGAGCCGGGGCCTGTCAGGTACGCAGGCCACTGGGCGGTGGGCAGCCCTTCCCGGGAATGAGGTGTGGATGCGGATGCGCTTTCCCTCTTGGCTTCTGCTCCTCCTGTCCCGGGCTCCCCTCAGCCTCCCTGGGACCCATGGCCCTCTCTCGCCTGCCCAGGAGCATCCTCTTCAACCCCGACGGCTGCTGCCTGTACAGCGGCTGCCAGGACTCGTTGCGCGTCTACGGCTGGGAGCCCGAGCGCTGCTTTGACGTGGTCCTTGTCAACTGGGGCAAGGTGGCCGACCTGGCCATCTGCAACAACCAGCTGGTGAGACCGCCGCCCGCACCCACCCTCCCTCCGTCTGCCCAGCTGCTCCCACAAGCCCAGCAGGCCCCACTCCCACCGGCCCTGCGGGGATCCTGCCCACCCATCCCCTAGCTGCTGCTCTGCCGCTTCCTGCAGATAGGCGTGGCCTTCGCCCAGAGCAACGTCTCCTCTTATGTGGTGGACCTGACCCGGGTCACCAGGACAGGCACGGTGGCCCAGGACCCCGTGCAGGACAGCCGGCTCCTGACGCAGCAGCCGCCCCTCCCCACCGCCCCCCTGCGGCGCATCTACGAGCGGCCCAGCACAACCTGCAGCAAGCCTCAGAGGTGGGCTCGGGGCTCGCGGGGCACAGGACACGGGTCTGACCCTGGGAAAGCTTTGGGGGACCCAGCCTGGCCTCACTGGCCCGTCCGTCCTCCTCTGGGCACCCGCAGGGTGAAGCAGAACTCTGAGAGCGAGCGCCGCAGCCCCAGCAGCGAGGACGACCGGGACGAGCGGGAGTCTCGTGCGGAGATTCAGAACGCGGAGGACTACAACGAGATCTTCCAGCCCAAGAACAGCATCAGTGAGGCCCGGCTCCCCCCGCCCCCCGTGAACCCTGGCACCCCACCTGTGAAATGATGAGGATGATCCTTTTTGGGGACGGCATCCATGCAGCTCCCTTAGTTCCTAACCCACACACACCGGGCCAGCTCTCTCCCCAGGAACTCTAGGCCCCGGCAGAGCCCTGGCAGCCACTCAGTGTGCTGCCCCCCGGGGCGAATGGGCGGGACTGAGGGTTTGTGGGCCGGGACAGGGTCGCAGGTGTGCAGCTGCATGCCTGGAAACCACCTTCCGTCCCCCAAGTCCTGACAGGGCCCTGGGGACGCAGACAGGAACCCTGGGCAGCTGACACGAGTCCCCAACCCCTCCCCTCTACAGGTCGGACACCACCTCGAAGAAGCGAGCCCTTCCCAGCACCCCCAGAGGATGGTGAGTCAGGGTGGGGCAGAGCTGGCCTCCCAGCTCCTCAGTCCTCTCCCCTCTGAGCCCTTGCCCTCCCCTCTGTGGCACAGATTCAGCCTCTGCCGCTCACTCAAGAGCACCTACTATGTGCCAAGCCCCAGGCTAGTCCTTGGTGGTTGAGCGTGAACAGGGTAGGCAGGTGCTCCTCTCAAGCCCACAGATGAGTCCAGAAACAGGACACGTGCTGTGGAGGAACAAGCTGGGCCCGCTGTAGATGGGGGCCTTGTGGCTCTCAGCCCCTCACCACCAGCGCCCCCGGCACACACATTCCTAGTGAGCTGGCAGATCGCCCCACCCATCGACTCACAGGTCCCATCGACTCACAAGGCTAGATGCCTGCTTTCTGCCAGGCCTGGGATTGGGTAGGTAGAAAGTTGCGGACAGCCCAGCCCCTGCCCTTAGGCCTCCCCAGGACCCACACTGCTGACGTCTCCCTCCCTGCTGCCCGCTGGCTCCTGCCCTGTCCCCCTCGGTTACAAATGCCGTCCAGAGTCCCACCCTGCCTTCTTCCTGACCCAGAAATCTTTTCCTTCTGCCTCCAGACGTGGCCACAGCCAAGGAGGCAGCAAAGCCCAGCCCAGCCATGGACACGCAGTTCCCGGTGCCAAACGTATGTCTGGGTAGAGGGCGTGTGTGAGACTCAGAGGGGCTGGAGCCCTGAACCAGGGTGAGGGGCCTCCCATCTGGGGGGTAGAGAGGGAGCCCTCAGGCTGGCTGTCCGCTGAGCCTCAGACCCCTCCAGCTCGAGGTCCCACCCTGGTCCCAGGTCGTCACTTCCACCCCCGCACCCAAGGCTGAGCCTGCCATCATCCCTGCCACCCGGAACGAGCCCATCGGGCTGAAGGCCTCCGACTTCCTGCCTGTGAGTGTGGGCCCAGCCCAGGGTGGGTGGAGGCCCATGGGCGAGGGCAGAGCTTCGCTGCCAGCATCTGGGCCTGTCCCACAGGCTGTGAAGATCCCCCAGCAGACAGAGCTGGTCGACGAGGATGCCATGTCGCAAATCCGCAAAGGCCACGACACCATGTGCGTGGTGCTCACCAGTCGCCACAAGAACTTGGACACCGTGAGGGCCGTGTGGACCACGGGCGACATCAAGGCAAGCGCCTGCCCCTGCCCTGGGCTTAGGGCAGAACCAAGAAGAGGGCCACAGGAACTGGCCGGTGGGGGGTAGGCAGCCCGTCACCACACTGTGGTTGACTTGATCTCTTCCATCCTCATCACAAGCTGCCATTTATTGCACACCTATCCCTGGGCCTGGCCTGTGCTGATCCTCTCAGGTGGCTTTATCACTGTCCCACAATAAGGCCCATCACACACACCACACCCGGCAGGGGCCCTCTCCCTGTCCTGACAGGCGCTCTGTTTGCACAGACGTCGGTGGACTCGGCCGTAGCCATCAATGACCTGTCGGTGGTGGTGGACCTCCTTAACATCGTCAACCAGAAAGCGTAAGTGGCTGCAGGGGGTGAGTGGGCGGAGCGGGCAGGGCTGGGTGCTGAGGGCACCTGTCCCGGCCTCTCCCCAGCTCCCTGTGGAAGCTGGACCTGTGCACCACGGTCTTGCCGCAGATCGAGAAGCTCCTGCAGAGCAAGTATGAGAGGTACGCAGAGAAGCCCCGCCTCCTCACAGCAGGGAGGGGCAGGGGCTTGGGCAGACCCCCAGGGGGTGCCCACGGGAGGTGGCTGTGCTGCCCACTGCAAGTTCCAGAGGCCAAGGTGGAAACAAGCCTGTGCTGCCTCTCATCCTCTGCCCCTGTCTTTGTGTACTTGCTGTCCGTCTGTGGCTCCATCCATCCGCCTGCCTCTGCAGCTATGTCCAGACGGGCTGCACCTCCCTGAAGCTGATCCTACAGCGCTTTCTGCCCCTCATCACTGACATCCTGGCAGCCCCGCCCTCTGTGGGTGTCGACATCAGCCGGGAAGAGAGGTGAGGGGCCAGGCAGTGTGCCTGTGTTGGGGCAGGGGTGCCAGGCCAGCTGAGGGCACACAGCCCACTGTTGATGGCCCTGCTGCTACAGCTTATACAGGAGGTCACTGCCTGGGACAAAACCCCAACTCAGGAGGGAGGGTGGGGTGAGCCAAAGCTTGGGTTCCTCCATAGCCTGGCTCTGCCCTGAGCCCGGGTGTCAGCTGGCATGGCCTGGGAGCGGGGCGGGAGTGGTTAGTGCTGCCCCTCTGCCCACAGGCTGCACAAGTGCCGGCTCTGCTATAAGCAGCTCAAGAGCATCAGCGGCCTCGTCAGGAGCAAGTCGGGCCTGAGCGGCCGCCACGGCAGTGCCTTCCGGGAGCTGCACCTGCTCATGGCCAGTTTGGACTGAGGAACCCAATGGGTCGGGGCACCAGGCAACCCTCGGGGCCTGGCCTCCACCCCCACTCCTGTTACCTGTGCACCCACCGGCCCATGAGCTTCTGCCCTGTGGCCATCCTGGAGGCGGCGGCGCTGGCCCACTGGCCACCTCCACAGCCCTGAACTCAGACAACTTCTGTCCAGCTATGGCTGCCCAGCTTTGCCCAATTCTTGCTTCTTGGGGCAGCCAGCCAAGCCCTGGGGCTGCTGCTGTAATTTATAAGACAAATTTTATTAAATTTGTAACTATTCCCTGGTTTTCTTGCCCGAAGGGGCATCGCTGGCCACAGGGCTCTCCCAGGTGCAGGATTGCAGGCAGAGGCTTGCACCCGGCTGTGTGGCCAGCAGGGGGCAGCAGAGTGCCAGGCCAACAGGAAAGGGCTGATTCAGACTTATTCTGGGGGAGGTAAATTGGAGACAGCAAGTCTTCCCCCATGGCTGGGAGACAGGTGAGAGGCGGCCCCCCCATCCTCTGTCTCAGCCACACTCCCAGCTGTCCTGTGGATGCCTCCAAGCCGACAGCTGCAGGATGCCAGGACCCCACCTCACAGACACGGCCACCACTGTGCTACCCCAGAGCCCAGCCTGCTCCCCGTCCCTGGAGGCCTTCAGAGACAGGACTGGACGAGCCGTCCCCCATCCTCCCCTGAGGGCTCTGAACACACCTCACTCCCTGCAGCACCCCCAGTGCTGGTGGCCAGGACGAGCGACCCGACCCAGTGGGTTCAGCCCCAGTCGGAGGGAGGACCCCACTGAGCACAGGCTCCCTCAAGGCTGGGACCAAATTTAGGCCAACACACCCCATGGCGGGGGCGGGGGGGGGGTGTTTCCTGTAAGCCCTGGGCGAGGATGCGCTCACCTGTGGCCAGCTCACTCACTCGGACAAGGCCAGGGCCCAGCCATGGTTGTGCCGAGCCGTGGAGGAGCCTGCATGTCCCACCTGTAAGACGGGGGTGGCGACACTGTTGATGGGTCAGTCATGACGAGGGGAGGGGGGCACCGGCCCTACCCTTCGTGGATGTTCAGGCCACGCGACCCTTACTCGGGCAGGTGTGGGGCTGTGGGCGACCCACCAGCAGCACCAGCTGACGCCCTGCTCCTGGGGCTCACAAGACCTGTTCTTCAGACCACACGTGTGTAAAAAGGCTTTTATTTTAATATTAAAAATGGCTAAGCTTCCAAAAGTTCTTAAATAGGCTTTCAGAGGAGCAAATGTCAGGAGGCCAGTGAGCAAGGAGCGAGCCTGGTGCCAGGCGGATGGGGGAGCAGCAGAGTCCCCGCCCCCTGGCCTCCTGCCAGCCATAAATAACCCGGCCGCCCGGCAGGCAGGCCGCGCTATGTACACAACGAACACTACCCATGCCCGGTGCGGGCCCTGGGAGGACTGCCCCCAGGTGCCCGCCACCCAGCCCGGCCCAGGGCTCCT